GGCTAAAATGAGTGCAAGCTATTTACATTCACAGAGTTACATTATGGAGGGGGTGATCACCAAATATGGAAGTTCTTGATTCCAGAGTCAAAATTTGCTGGAAGTCACCCTGATCATGTGCACCACTTAGGCCCACCAGGACACAAGCCACTCTGGGGTTCCACTTTTATATTTTGATTTTGACTTGCTTTCTTCCCACCAATATCAATGTAACTAGACACCAGTGCATGGTGCAGAAGGCTCCCATGTGCCACTCCCACCCCATGGAGGAGTGTGTCACCCTATGAGAACACTGGCAGTGCTCACCTAATGCCCCCAATCTACCTGCTACCCTAGCCTGGGAGGTAGGAGGGTGGGAACTAGAACCAGCCTCTGTGCCACTGGCAGGATTTGATCACTGCTGCGAGATGGGCATGTAGAACCCCCTTTTCTTTTTTTGGATCTCACACCATCAGCATCAGAGTAAAAGCCACAGAGCACCCAGCAACAGGTCGTGTTCCATGATGTTATCTAGGGACATTCTGAAAACTTTCTTGACTCTGAGTATCTCTTTAAGGTTTTTTTTTTTTGAGACAGGGTTTCACTCTTGTCGCACAGTCTGGAGCTCAGTGGTGCGATCTCCTGAGTAGCTAGTATTACTGGCACCTGCCACCATGTCCGGCTAATTTTTGTATCTTTAGTAGAGATGGGGTTTCACCATTGTTGGCCAGGTTGATCTTGAACCCCAAACCCTGGTTGATCTGTCTGCCTCAGCCTCCCAAAGTGCTGAAAGTACAAGCATAAGCCACCGCACCCTGCCTCTCCTTCAGCATTTTTGACAAAACAGTCACATGTTCCCCCGGCTTACATGGCCTTTCTCAGTTGGCAAAGCTCTTTCATTAGCAGCATCCCATTTAACCTTGGTTAAGCTGTAATGGGTTGGTCGAGTAACTTTTTCAAAACAAAGGATGAACAAGCTCAGAGAGCCTGAGGGACTTACTGAAGATCACACAGTAAATGATAAACTATTTTACTTTATGTCTAAGGTATTTCATGATATGAAATAGATTGTAGATATTTCAACAAGTAGCATTTTTGGAGACAGGTGTAACTCCTTTTCAAGGAGTAACCTTTACATGTCACCTTTAGAGATAAAGCTGAAAATGCAAATCTTTCCCTTGAGAGTGGGAAAGCATTAACAAATGGGCACCACAGGCCTTTACATATTCAAAATATTAAACTAATTCTAGGATTGTAGCCTTGATGTAAGACATAATAGATAGTAGAAAGTTCTGGATTGAAAACAGTTTTGCAAAAATACACATTTGTATATGTGTATAGATGTATGTGTGTAGGAATATATATAGGAAAATATATTGCTTAAGGTGTTTGTACCAATTTTACACTCCGTGTTCACAGCTTTTGCCACCCCATCTCTATACTTAAAGCCACCATGTTACTTTTAATTACTTTATACCGATTTTCAGTCATCATCTACATAATCATTTATAGTCATATACTAATACAGTTAAGCCAATGAAGCACTTTCATGAGCAAAAATTACAGATTTTTAAAATATGATTCCAGAAATACTTCAGCTTTTGCAATTAGTAATTGATTCTGAGTCATATGAAGCATGAAATATGCTTTAATTTTAAAAAATAAATTGTATATTGACCATAAAGAAATAGTATATTAAAAGTCAGAAAAACGCTTCCTTTCACTGTATGAAAATGTGTGATGTGGATTGTGAACTCTTGGACCTTCACCACTTGTAAATATGAGTCTATCCTTTACCATAGTGTAGCTTTTACCATAGGGCTTTGGTACATTTTATTTAAAAAAAAAAAAAAAAGAAAATGCTGACAGTGACAATTGAGATAGAGGTAGGAGACTTCAGGCACAAGAGACTGGCATGGGTAAGTTCAGGGCAAGTGAAGGGTCGCCTCCACTGGGATTCAATGACTGAGGACTGTGAAGATACCAAAAAATGCAAGAAGTCATGGGAAATAGTTTTTCTCAATGGAAAAGATGACACAAGTAGAATGGTTAAGAAGGAAGATTCATTAGCTTCAATTCCCCAGCTGATGTTCAACACTTCATTTAGTAAACATTTACTTGGAAGATAATTTCCCATCAATTTCCATTTCACATGAAATCCCCTATGTGTAATTTATTCATTACATCTCTGAAGAGCAGAATTAATGATGTTTTTCAGTTGTTGCTCCAGATCGTGTAGGGTAGAGGAGGCTGAAGACTGCTGCAAGGAAAGGCATCTGTATTATCTCAAAACATCAGGACAGTACGGATACTGCAACGGGAAAGAAGGGACAATGTGTTAACATTTAGGCAACCCACGTTTCCGTGGGAGAGCATTTCCACGTCCAAGGAGCATCTCAGGTGACTTATTAAAAATCTGTCTGTTTTCAGCCACTCTAATCCCATCCTCCTGCATGGGATTAAGTCAAGTCAAATGGAAGTTCATCTTTTTTTGTTTTCTCTTGTTTTACTTCAACCTTAACCTCACTCACAACAATCTGAGTATGCCTGCCATTTCGACTTCAATTCTACATTAGGATCTTCAAAAAAACATTCTTTTGTTCCTGGTATAAGGAATATAAAACAACAATGGATAATAACTTGCAACAAGTTCTTGCTATTTGTTAACACTTTTCATGCATTTCTCATTTAAACTTCAACCTAAACATTAACACTAGGAGGTAGGTTTCCATATTATTTCCAGTTTAGAGTTTATAAAAATTGAGACTTAGAAAGATGTGTAACTTGCTCTGGTTACACATCTAGTATACAGTGTTGGGATTCAAACACAAATACAAGTTTGCACAAATTTAAGATGATGGATAACTTGCCTAAAAGAACTGATAAATTAACAAAGTTAAGGCCATGCCAGAAGTTTAAAAGATCTTTGATACAGAGATGTTTGAGGAGTCTTTGAAGTAGAGAATAAAGTTGATTTGTATTAATTCTAAGATGCTTCATTGTTGTGAAGATTAGAAATGTAATATTTATACTAGAACTATGCCATTTGTATAAACCAACTTCTTATTAATCAATATTTTTAGAAAATGATGGTCTTTGTGACTCTTTACTAATTTTTAAGGTATTTTTGTATATGCATATATAAGAAAAATATATGCACATGATTTAGAAAATAGAAGACAGCAGAAAGAAGAAAGTCAAAGTAATCTGAATCCCACAACCTTGAAATAATCATTCTCATTATTTTCTTGAATTTCTATCAACTTTTTTGAGACATATGTGTAAGTTTTACTGCTCTTGTTGAAAATTTGATACATTGTGTATACAACTTATATTCTTTATTATATGAACCTAAAGTATATCATGAGAATTTCCCAATGAAGTCATTTCTTTTTGATGGCTTTATTCATTTCTAATAGATGATTGGAATTTATTAATCATTTTTCTCATGTTAAAATTTAGACTGTTTCTAATTTTTGATATTACAGAAAGAAGTAAACATGCTTAAACACATATGTATGTTTGAATAGTTATTTCTGTAGAAAAAATTTCTAGAAATGAAATTTTTAGAACAAAAGATCCATTTTTTTATAAGGGTTTCTGATACCAAATTACCAAATTGCTTACCTAAAAGAATGTATCAATTACTACTGAAAGTACATGAAAGGACCCAGTCACCTTTCTCTTACCAATATTGAATATTACAATTTTTAATCTTTGCTTATTGATAGGATTCATTTTATTTACATATGCATATTACTATATGACATTCTCATAAAGTGAATTTAAGCATGCTTAATGACTTTTTAGGTTGTTGAACACTGTCCTCTGGTTTTGTTAATCTATTTGCCATCATCTCTCCACTGCTGTGATGATGATGATCCCGATGATGATGTCAATGATAATAATGATGACAATGCTAACTAACCTTCGATGACTACTGTGTTCCATATACACATGTACTCTTGAGGGGTGGTGTGGTTTAATAGAAAGTGAATAGATTTGCTAAAACAAGATCTACCTTTTAATTCTGGCTACCCTTCCTACCACCTGATGATTTGGGCCAAGTTATATCTTCTCCGAGTCTCAATATTCTCCTCTCTAAGATAGTGAGATTGAGACTGATACTGAGCATTGTCTGGGAATCACATGAGATAATACAGAAGACACTTAGTAGAAAAGCTGGTGCTCTGTGGGTGCTAGTTCTTTTCCTACTTAAGAATATTTGTTGGTTAGAGTATCTAGTACAATAGTTTTGTGAGTGTCAAGGAAACACTATTTAAAGCTAAAATCCTCATTAAAATAAGTGTGGGATAGCATAAAAATGAACAGACTCGAGCTAGAAGGCAGATAACTGCCTGTTTTCAGTTGTGCCTCATATAAACACAGTTGACAGAATTTATTTTATTAGCTGGTTGTAAGTGTTAAATGTTAGAGATAGAAAATAAAATTGGCTTATTTTTCTATGCTTTAGAGAAAATGCAAGACAAACATTTACAATAGTGTTTCGTATATGTCTCTTTTACAATAACTTTTATTGAAAACAAATTTTTGTAAACTGCAAAAATAAAAAGAAAAAACTAGTAATATCTACTAAGAAAACACTCCCAATGTAGTTCCACCTACTCCCATAATGAAAATGTTGAGGATGTCCTGAAAATTATTCAAATATACAGACACTTAATGTCAGCTTTATATAGGTGGCAGGAAGAGGCTTCAGTGACACCATGCTATAATTATGGTTTATGAAATACATGTATATGTGTGAGTGTATGTGGTTTGTTTTTTTAGGGGAGGGGCAAAGGTGAGTGTTCTCTTTTAAAGAAGGCTGAGTGGCTCTGATCATTCAGATTTGCTGTAATCAACATATTTTGGCTTCAGCAGAATAGGAAATGCAAAGCAACTGTTTTTAGCTTCTCACAGTATAATCCTACATGTGCTCCATGCAAAGACTGAACTAATAGTGGAAAACCAAGGCACTCTAATGTTTCTCATTCTTACATCTTTTTCTTTTCTGATAGACAATCCTCTACTGGAGAAAAAAAGCAAAACAGAAAACGAACTTAAAATCTACCTTTTCCCAGAACGAAGCAGGTCAAATCCTTCATTTATTTTTTCAAAAGGTAAAACGTTGGTTATTAATGCATCCAGTGAAAATTTCTTAGCCATAAAATCAACCACAAGTCTGGGGACATCTTCTTTACTCTTATAGCCTGAAAAGAAGACAATATCATTGTTAGAGTCAACCCAGGTAAGTAGGAGAATTGAAGAGAAGATTTTCCAAATAAATGAAAGTTTAGAAAAGGTGCTGCATTCCAGACTGCTATAACTGAGGATAATAAGAGATAGAGTACTTCAGTATGCTTTTACCGTGCTTTGACTTAAAAAAAGTCACAGATAAACAGGGTCCTTAGTTATTCTCTCTCACACAGAGATATCATAGTACAGATGTTATGCCCAAAGTTAAGAAAAAATTTATCAGTTGTCTAAATTTGAGTGTAGATATGAAATATTGATGTAGATTCGGTGTCTTATTAGAAATTTCCATGCCTTACACAGTCACAAGTACAAAACAGATGGAGATGAAAGGTCTTGGTTAATGGTGACATCAGAAAAGTCTATTTTGGGACCTCTATCTGCATTAGTTCCATACCTAGTTGATTTGGAGACTATAGATAGAAAAGGAATTTTAATTTATTTTCAATTTGTTTTTCAAAACCTTGCCTTGTCACTTGTAAAAGGGGAGATAGACTGAGGTTAATGAGAATTTGGCACTGGAGCCTAACTACATACCTCCAAAAACAGCTCCTTTCCAGGTGCGTCCAGTCAGTAGCAGCATAGGGTTCATTGAGAGGTTTTGGGAATCAGGAGGTAACCCTACAATGACGCTTGTGCCACATGCTTCATGACAACATAACAGGGAAGCCATCTGGAGTAAAGTGAATATTTGGCATCCTTAATGTGGGTAGAATAGTTCCTACTCATAATGTGCAATATCATGTAATAGGCTCAGCTAGATTGTGAGTGTGTAGAGGGAAGAGATCACGTCTTTTGCTTCTTCATTTCCCCTTTCTTTGCAAGGGATGGTGCTATAGATTTAGGAAATGCCCAGAAAATGGTTTTTGAATGAAAGAATGGATGAATAAATTGGTGTGCACTTAATTCTTCCTAAAAAGGAATAGAGAGGCAGACAGCATTACAAACATATATTAAGTCCAGTTCCTTATATAAACATACAGTTTCATCATCACATCATTCTTAGGTAATCTGTGAGTTGGTTAATTCACTTTTCATTGATTTTTTACATATGTATTTTGAACCCAGTACTTTCAACCACATATTTTAAAGGGGAACAAGATAAATGATTATATCACCAAAATTAGTTTCTTGTCCACTTCTTGGCCTCCTTTTTTAACAGATAAGTATTCTGCTGTCCATTTCTCAAATGGACATGTTTTAAACATTGTTTTTGCCTCCCCAAATATATATTGGACTTACATTAAAATACAGCGATTATTTGGGAACCTCAAAGGACAGTTCAGAAAGCCTTTTCCAGTCAGCTTTTTGACCATGTTTTGTAGTTAGAAAATGGTTTAAGATTCCCCCCAAGGTATTTAATGATTAGTGTTTTGATTTTGGATTCTGACATTTGGAAGACCAGATATCCTCAGAATATGTGGCTGTCAGACATTTGGTGTCTTGAGATCAGGTACACTCCAGATCCACATGAGAAAATGGAGAACAATGTGGAAAAAGAACATTAGGGGAAAAGCTATAGTCCTGAAAAAGGTTGGATTCTCTTGACACTCTATTTCTCTGTGGCATTTTTTCCCAGGTCAAGGCTGCTGAGAACTCTGATCTCTGAGTACTGTTCCCTATTACCTACACTGTTGGACCTTCTAGAAAATCTCAGCCATGGAAACTTGTTGGTCTCTGGAGACTTTTTCAGCAGGATTCTAGAGAATTCTGGTAGGTGAAATACAGCTAGAGATGTGTTTCCCATTGCCTTTGATATTTGTAACTGTTTGAAAGTAATATCATGTAATAAGCCAAAGATGATGTAAGCTTTACAAGATTGGAAATAATATTTCACATCTCTATTGCCAACTGAGGCTGGGCATGGTGGCTCATGTCTATACTCTCAGCACTTTTGGAGGCTGAGGTAGGAGAATCGCTTGAGCCCAAGAGGTCAAGGCTGCAGTGAGTTATAATTATGCACTGCAACTCAGCCTGGGCAACAGAGTGACATCCTGTCTCAAAAGAAAGAAAGAAGAAGAAAGAAAGAAAGAAAGAAAGAAAGAGAAAGAAAGAAAGAAAGAAAAATAAAGAAAGAAAGAGAAAGAAAGAAAAAGAAAGAAAGAAAGAAAGAAAGAAAGAAAGAAAGAAAGAAAGAAAGAAAGAAAGCAAGCAAGCCGACATGTATTGGGAGCTCACCATATGACAGGTGGTAGTATGCTAAGTATATTACATGCATTATCTCATGTAAGCCATAAACAATGCTATGTGATACGTGGCTTTTAAATTTGGGGTATAGTAAAATCTGTTGACTTTTCAAAGTATTCACTCCTACTAGTATTGGATACTAGCTATGTGCCAGGCACTGTCCAGTTTCTGTGATAAAATAGAGTGATGCATTTGAGTATTTGAGTGATGCATTTGAGTATATTTTTGTTAATAAAACAACAGTAGGCTTAAAATTACTTATTTCTTCTAGCCAAATACTAATATGTGAAAAATTTTGGAATTTATTAAGAACACATGCAAAATTATTCAACCATTTTTCTTAAGAATGTGGGAGAAAAAGAAAACATTCCAATTTGAGAACAAAATTTGTGTTATTTATGCTTACTTGAGTTTATATTTTTTAACTAAAAATTAGTAAAGTAAATCTGTAATTGCTTAGTTAAGAAAAACAAGCTCTTTTCTTTTCCTCTCGAGGAAACATGACTTGAGACAGGTTTAATTAGTTGATGGAATAAAATATTTCTCATAACAATAAATTCAACAAGCCAGGTAATAAACAGACGATGGGAAATTTCCACTCATCATTAAATATATCCTTTATACATACAACATACGTTCTGCTGCGTAAATGCATCCTCCAAATTGCAGAGGCAGAAATCTCAGGGCACGTCATGGTACATACCACAGTGTCAAGCCGACCGATGACTTCAAACGAAAAATCCACACCTCCATCAGTCATTTCCTTTAGCACCTCCTGGATGGGTTTCTTGTAGTCTTGAGGGTTGATGCATTCAGTGGCACCCAACTCTTTGGCCTTTGCAAATTTGTCCTTGTTGATGTCCACCGCGATGATCCTGGCCGCTCCGGCTGCTTTACATCCCATAACGACAGAAAGGCCAACCCCTCCCAGGCCAAACACAGCACAGGTAGAGCCTGGGGTAACCTGTGTTTTCAGAAAATGCAAAAATTGATTAAGTAATGATTGTTAGAAAGTGCCATGCCCAGTGTTTATCAAGAGCTGCTCAGACTCTTCTGTCCAACCTGTTACAGAAACCTCTTTTGGCTTCAGTTGCTTTACTTTTAACTTTGAGGGGTTGAACTAGTTGAGTGATTCTCAAATGGCTGCATATTAGATTCATCTGTGAAGCTTTACAAACTATCCCACTCTCCAGGTCACAGCCCATGCCAATTAAATCAGAATCTCTGCAGGTGAAACTCAGTCATCGGGTGACTCCAAACTGGAGGTCAGGCTGCAAACCAGGGGACTGGATGAGCTTTGAGATCCAGATGGCAGTGAGAAGAGTCTTGAAGGGACTCTCAATTGCTGAAAGCCATGAGAGTCAGCTTCAGTATCTCATACATACACAAAGGCAATGTTTGGAAAATAAAACAAGTGGAAAAGTCTACTCCAGGAGAACAAGAAATATTCCACTTAAACTCTCAATAATTAACTCCTTGGTTCATTTATGTTCAGTAGTTGTGACCAGTATATACCTGCTTTAAAAAATACACTAGTGAACAACACAGCAATGAAACATTCATCTATATTTTAATAATAAATAAAATTTATCATTATGAGTATCCTTTGCTTCTATTCTTGGGTAGGCTTAATTAGACCACCCATTGAAACAGATGAGGTAGTTGAACAAGGGAGTAAGTGCTAAAGTCAGTGAAATTTGGAAAAGATGCCCTCTAATTGGTTTAAATTAACCAGGGGTTATTTATTAAACCTAATCTCCCATAGTCAGCCTTCATTGTGGGTAACATGTTCTTCCTGTTCCAAATAATCTCATTCTTATATTTCCTTAAGGGTTTCTATTCATTTATTCATTCACCAAGTGTTATTCAATACTATGGAGGACAACACCACTTTCTACCTTACTTAGAAAAATACAAGGCTTGTGACTGTGATTTAAAAGCACTAATAATTATGGATTGTGATTTAATATTCAGCAGGAGATTTGTAAGTAATATTTTAGTCTCAGCTCTCATATTAACCAGCAGTGAGACTTTGGGCAAATATCTTTATATATCTGGACCTCGGTTTCATAAAATAAAGATACTACTAGATTTTTAGCCATTTTAGATGAGGAGCCTTTAAAGAATTTCTGCTTAAAATTTACTACTTTTGAAGTATATATGTGTGCTTATGGCAGAGGGTTTCATTTTAGCAGTGAATTCCAATAATGAGTGCAGCAAACCACCATAGCATGTGGTTTAAACAGAATTTAAGGTATAATCATAATAATTAAAAAAAAACTTGCTGCAGGGCACATTGGCTGCTCACACCTGAATTCCCAGGACTTTGAGAGGCCCAGACGGGCAGATCACCTGAGGTCAAGTGTTCAAGACTGGCTTGGCTAACGTGGTGAAACCCCATCTCTACTAAAAATACAAAAATTAGCTGAGCATGGTGGTGCTCGCCTGTAATCACAGCTACTTGGGAGGCTGAGGCAGGAAAATCGCTTGAAACCTGGAGGCAGAGGTTGTGGTGAGCCCAGATTACGCAGCTGCAGTCCAGCCTTGGTGACAGAGCAAGACTCCATCTCAAAACAAAACAAAAGTATATTCTAGAAACCAGAAGCATCAGCAACTCAAACTTGGTAGAAATGCAAATGATCATGGCCCATTACTGAGTGAGAAAGTTTTGGGGTAGGACCCAGCCATCTGTGTTTTCAACAGTTCTCCAAGTGCTCCTGCTGCAGGCTAAAGTTTCTACCGCACTAAGATACAAAAAGCTAAGTATGTAACTTGTACTACTAATGCTAAGAAACAGATATCTTGATGTTACAAATGCTGCACTGGGTATGGGGTAAAGACTTCCCAGGAAACTTTGGCTTTTAAGTGAAGTGGAAACATTTTCTATAAAGCTATAAAATGTGAAACTTACATTATTTGAACAATGTTAAAATGTGTTAAACAATGTTAATAACTGCAATCTTTTAAAAAATTATGAGCAATATCATTATTAAAGCCTCAGAATGAAATAATACTAAATAACCTTATTTGTAACTCAAAACAAACAAACAAACAAACAAATCCCATAAAGAGTGAATTATGGATCACGGAAGCTTCATTACCTTCCACAAATCCACAGGGTGGGTGAGCCTTGGTTTGGAGGTGCATCGGGTAGAGCTTTGGACTCTACTGTTGATCCTAACTCTGGGAATAGAGAATCCACAGACTAGATGCTTCTCAAGAACAAACGCTTCATTTCATCTACTATTGCTGTCTCAGAACCTAGCAGAACCTACCATACCTGAGGCATGTGTAGGTGCTCTCTAATTGTTGAATGAATAATGAGTTCACAGGCCTAACATTTCAAGCTCTTATAAAGAGCAAATACAGGAGAATAATCATTGAAATTACATCTTTACTTTTTATTAACTCTTAACAACTTTTTATCTGTGATAAACAGGTGAAATTTCTAGCATGTGTTCTCAATTCTTTTTCTATTCTTAATCAACACTCCAAATCTACAAAAATAATCTTTGATTCTTGTGAGAAAGTGCTTCCCTGTCAGTTCCTGACAGTCTGCGTGTAACTGGTTTTATCACCCATTGTCATTCTTACCTTGGCAACTTTGACTGCAGACCCATAACCAGTCGAAAATCCACAGCCAATGAGGCAGACTTTCTCCAGGGGAGAGGCTGCATCAATTTTGGCCACTGCAATCTCATCCACCACCGTGTACTGGGAGAAGGTGCTGACGCCAATGAAGTGGTGGATGGGCTTCCCTTTGCAGGTGAATCTAGTGGTGCCATCCTGCAGGGTTCCCTGAGCATTGCTGAGATTGGGCAGTACAATACACAGACACACATAGGCATGAGACAGGAGCATAACTAATGTGCAAACTCAAAGTCTGTGCTAACAGAGCATCAGAAACCTACTCGTTTTTCAAGCAGTAGTTGCTTTCCGGGTTTTTACAAATTCTGCATTTTCCACACTGAGGAGTAAAGAGCGGGATGACTTTATCACCTGGAGAGGAATAAATCAAATTCTTTTTAAATTTCTATCCAGGAATTAATAGAGTAAAAACTTAAAGTTCAAGGGTATAGATGAGAAGCGTGTCTTTAAAAGTCTCCATAAATATGTCCAATCACAACTATGTCATTTGTCATTGCCTGCCACAGCCTTGTTTTCAATTTGGGGCTATAAGTGCCCGAAGATTCCTAAAGGGAAATGAAAATGTGGGAAACAACATGGATTTAAAAAATTACTTCCACAGCATTAATAGTTAACTTTTATAATAGTTAACTTTTATATACTGTATCAAGTTCTCCTGGAGGCTTTACAAATATTTTATTTAATCCTTAACTATTTAAATCTTAAATATCCTTACTAAGTATAAATATAAATTTTAGTTGAAAGAGTATAATAGTCCCACTAGATTTTGGTATAAGACCTGTTTTTTGTTATAGTTTGATTTACAATAAAAATGAGAGGTTTGAACTATTCTTTGCTTTTCAAAATGACTAGGTTTATCTTTATTATGAAATGAATGCTTCTAAAATGATCTTAGTTCTTTTTTTGAGAAAAATTAACAAAAGTGGGACAAAGAACAATTCCAGAAATTCCTCTAGAAATTTCAACCCTCCACAATAAGTTAGGTACTTTTCAGATAAGAGCTGACTTTAAAATGTTTTTAGCTAATGATACTTTGTGAATTAGCTATTTTTCCTGTGGTGGTGGAGGGAGCATGGGTGAAAAATAAATGTGTCATTTTGTTATTAATTTATTTCTAACTAAAGAAATTAGTAAGAGCTGAAACTCAAATTGGATGGTTCATTTTATTTTCCTGTTCACCATTCAGGTTGGTAAAGTGGTAGTTCCAATCTATGCCTAAAGCAAGTTTTTAGAATTAAACATAATATTTATTTTAATTACCTGTGCTACCTATTCAACAAGACCAAGAAAAATGGTTGTCCCATAACATTTTATAAGTAAAATTTATGTGAAAATGATGGTATGGAAATGTCCTATTTATTCTCTCTATATAATTAGTAATTCATAACCAGTCGCACTGAAGCATGGCTGAAGGTAATAAGGCAGGCATTGTTGATGGTGGATGGCTCCTGCTATGTTTCTTTCATTTCCTTTCACCTAGTCTGTTTCAATGAGTCCATGCTGGGGAAGAGACACCATGTCAGAAGAGGAAATTGGTGAAGGGGCTGCATAAGTCACCTAAGAAAAAGTCATGTTTATTCAGCCATAGACATGTCGCCTCCATTTCCTGAACTCAGCACAGAGCAGTGTCTATACTTATGTCTTTTCCCTCCTCCCGTTTCTTGTTGTCTGGCCCTGACAGGAGACGGTGTTCAGCAACACTAACACGGAAGTTATTAGATTATGGATTCACACTGGTAGGCACCGTGTCTCTTTTGATCCTCATGTATCTCCAGGCTCTAAACTGTTGCCTGGCATCTAGCAGATCCTCAGTACATAGCTGTTGAAGGGTAGAATACATATGTGCCTGAATGCACACATGCCTGAGTCAGGTAGGCAGAGAGGGAAGGAGGAAACCCCTGAAGTCCCGGCTGCCCTGTGACCTTGTGCAAGCACTTTCATCTCTCATTGCCTCGGTTTCCTCACCCAGGCTGGGAAATCCTGGAATGGTGAACCAAGGCGTGATCTCAGTGTGTGAGTCCTGTACCTGGTTTGACTGTAGTCACCCCTTCTCCAACACTCTCCACGATGCCGGCTGCCTCATGGCCTAAAATCACAGGAAGTGGGGTCACCAGGGTGCCACTAACCACGTGGTCATCTGAGCGACAGATTCCTACAGCCACAATCTATAGAGTGAGGAGAAGATGTTGAGATTCAGGAAATATTATGCGTCTCAGATGAATTTAAAAATCCCAACTTCCTGAAATTGTGTTTCCAAAATGTATTCAAGAATTTTGCTAATAATCCCTACTATTTCCAAATATGAAAGATTCAGTTTATCCCCGAAGTTAACCAGGCTAAAACCCTCCTCTACCTTCCTTTCTTGAATTAAACAATTGAGAATAATCTGTGAAATAACTGATCCTGAAATTAAGTCTTAAGTAATATACAAGAATGCATGCTTTATAAGAACAGAAGTAGAAATAGCAAATTGACGCATAAAAAATCTACTGCTAATTGATTTTGAAGTCTTGATGTATATCCATTCAAATGTATTTTCTGTACAAACACATAAATTCTATTGTATTTTATTGGAATTATACTTTATGTACTCTTTGATCACTGTTTAAATATTCAATAATTTATATGTATACCTTTCCTTGACAACAAGTATATTCTGTTTTCTGGATGATCACATTAAAAATGACTAAGATTTTTGATTGTTTCCATTTTTTAATTTTTCTGAGATTTTTAAACTTAAATACAAATGGAAAAATGTATTTCACCTTAATACGAACTTCATGGACCTTAGGAGGTGCCACCTCCACCTCCTCAATGGAAAATGGTTTGTTTAACTCCCATAGCACAGCTGCTTTGCATTTGATTACCTAGAAAATCAAACAGAGAGATGGTACCAGTGTTTTCCCACTCTTGACATAAGAGATTGTGTCCTTTCATCTTTGTACTTGCAGCATCTAGTCGCATGTCTGTTTCCTAACAAGTCCTTCATGGAAATGATCACCTCTGATTTATGAAGAGAATAAAAACATATTTTACAAAAGCAATAATATACGGAAATTTAAACAGAGTTAAATATAATAGCACACTGAGATAAAATGGAATATATTCATGAAGGCCATCCTCATGTTGTTGTTTTTTTCTCCCAAGGTGTTTAATCCCGACATTTTCTAATGCTGTGCTGAAAACGTTTCTTTACCACAACTATTGGCTGGTACATGAAATTCTAAGTCATCTTCATTTTGCTGACAGTCAGTGTGTGTTCATAAAATACACTGCTTTCTTGCTCAATTTTCTGCTTAGACCCTAAGGATCTGACTCTGTAAGATATATTTATCTTATTGCCTGGGATGATGTCTCTTCCTCTATTTGCCTATTCTCCTTTTACTTTTCTCTCTCCACCACTTCTATGTGTGACTTCTTCCAACACCCATTTGCAACTTAGCTTTCAGAGCCTGTTGTGTTATCTGATTTGTGTGTAGAGACTCCTTCCAGCTTTGATTTGAGCCCCAAATTACAGAGGTTAGAGTTGGTGGTGGTGGTGGTGTGTGTGTGTACAATCAGACCCACACATACATATTTCAAAATTGGAGACACTGTGTGTTTGAATTTCTAGCTCGCAGATCTTATCCATAGATGTTCTTAAAAATAAAAGTTGAATATGTATTTCCAGTGCTTGTCAATATACTGCAAGATTCATCTTCACGTGGTTAAGCCCGTACAATTCACAGAACTTTTTCTAGAGAGAATCAACAAAATTGCAATTATGATAAAAATTCAATTGAAATTTATTCTTCTGAAAATTCATTTTCATTATGTGTCAAATTATTCAACTTTGCAGGGTGTTGAACATGGTCAATGCCAAAATAAATGTCTGAATACTTGGAAGGAAGGTACTAATAGGAGGAAGTTTCTGATTATCAGTTGCCCACGATGTGACAGGCACACTGTGGCCTGTGCTAGGTGAGTTATATGCATTATGTTTATTTATAAAATTTATCTTTAATTTCAATAGTTTTTGAAATTAAACTATTTAATTACTGAAGTCAAATTAATTGACTGGTTACCTGGGTAGGTTCTTTAGTGGCGATTTCTGAGGTTTTGGTGAACGCTTCACTCAAGCAGTGCACACTGTACTCAGTATGCAGTCTTCATCCCTCACCTCCCCGCTCAAACTTCCCCTTGAGTTCCCAAAGTTTATATCATTCTTATGCCTTTGCATCCTCATAGCTTAGCTCCCTCACTGAGCTCAAACATCCCAGGTTGAGCTCAGACTGCTGTGCTGGCTGTAAGAATTTCAAGCCAGTGGATCTTAGCTTTCTGGTCTTCATGGGGGTGGAACCTGCCGAGCCAGATTATTTGGCTCCCTGGCTTCAGCTCTCTTTTTCAGGGGATTGAGTGGTTCTCTCTCTCTGGTGTTCCAGGTGCCACTGAGGTATGAGAAAAAACAAAAGCTGCTATGGCTAAAATGGCAGCCCAGTTTTGCGCTGGAAACCCATTGCACTGGTGGTGTAGGCACCTGAGAGAATCTCCTGGTATGCAGGTTGTGAAGACCATGGGAAAAGTGCAGTATCTGAGCCAGAGTGCCAGAGTGTCAGGAGAAGTCCCTAATGGCTTCCCTTTGCTAGGAGAGGGAGTTCTCCCACCCTTTGTGCTTCCCAGGTGAGGTGATGCCCCACCCTGCTTCAGCTCACCCTCCTTGGGCTATACCCACTGTTTAACCAGTCCCAATGAGATGAACCTGGTACCTCAGTTGGAAAAGCAGAGATCACCCACCTTCTGCATCGTTCTCACTGGGAACTGCGCACTGGAGCTGTTCCTATTTGGCCATCTTGGTGGAAATTCCACAACATTCATTATTTTTAAACCTCTCAAGGATGCTACCAGGACAGGATTATTGAGTTATTGGCTTTGTTTTACAGCTGAAATAGTTGAGGATCAGTTGATTCAGTGATTAAATAATTTCTGAGGTATCAGTGATTAAATAATTTTTCTGGAGTCTTTTCCAGAGAATGAAGATGAATCTAGCCATATGTTTTCACTACTCTGTGGCAATAAAACATTAGCAAAAAGTTAAATAGAAACAATAGTAATAGTGGCTAATATTTATTGACTTATTTCTATATACCAGATACAATTTTAATTTCTTTATAGTATTAATTTATTGAATTATCATAACACAATTACCTTATGAAATAGCGTTGTCACCATTCAGCATTTGAGGAAAATAAAATGCAGGACAGATAAACATAAATGAAATGCTGACAAAAAGCTAAGTTATTGATGTTGTGCCCAGGAGAGGAGGATTAGTTATTGTTTTCATCAGTTATTATTTTCATTAATATGATTGATTTATACTTTAGCTCTAGGAACTCATTGTTTCTTTTGAGTTTGGTAAATTTAATTTTTTTCCTAATTATTTTCTATGTGGAATGTGCATATTAATCAGTAATGAATGAAAGTAAAGTGAGGTGGAATAAGAACAGTAACAATGAGGCATGAGCCTGTTTTCTCACAGAATGTATAGAGAAGCCTCAGAACCTTTAAACTGAATTATCATAGTGAGATATTTTGCTATGTGATACACTCCTAACACAAAAAAAGGTCTGGAAATAGTTGCATGGGTTTATGTGATTAAGCAATTTAAAAAATTAAAAATGTCAATTGATTATATTGTATGACAACATGCATATTTGTACATCTGTAAACACATTGAACAATTAAGAAATTTATGGAAGGCAAAACCACATATCTGTGTTCCTAGTGCTAATTGTATTATTAATTTTCTTTAAAATTATATTGACTTTTATATGGGGAAGACACTGTGCCATAAGATTACTGTGGAAATTGCCTAAATTGTGTCACACTGAACCTTTTTTTTTTTTTTGGAGACGGAGTCTCGCTCTGTCACCCAGGCTGGAGTGCAGTAACATGATCTCAGCTCACTGAAACCTGTGCCTCCTGGGTTCAAGCGATTCTCCTGCCTCAGCCTCCTGAATAGCTGGGATTACAGGGGCACACCACCATGCCCAGCTAATTTTTGTATTTTTAATTGAGACAAGGTTTCACCATGTTGGTCAGGCTGGTTTCGAACTCCTGACCTCTTGATCCACCCACTTTGGCCCCCTAAAGTGCTGAGACTATAGGCTTGAGCCACTGCGTCTGACCACTGAATCTTTTTAAATCACAATTTGAGTGTTGATGTTGTTTTGCTTAATCTTGATGATTTTCATGCTGTCAGACCAATAAGCAGTTTGTAAGGTATTTTCTGTTCAAAGTCTTCTAAATCAAATCCTCTCATAAAACTTTCATCAGACTTAACTTTCTTCTTTTCACAAAAAAATGAATAGAAATAATACATTTAAATGATGCTACTTAATATAAAGAAAACTTCTTGATGAAGGACATGTCTAAATTTGGCTTTACAAATTAGTCATAATTAGCTTGGAATAAACAACCACTTTACTTTAAATGTACTTAATGTAGGAAATAAAGGCTCAATAGATACAGATTCTATACATTCTATTTGAAGGTATTTAAAAACAGCTTATTTCCACCATAGCTTAGTATACATTACATATTGTAGCATATATTACGTATCATGTTTCAGTGTATCATTTCAATTTAGATGTGAATTTTAAATTGTTCATCAAAGACTGTATTTCTTTCTTTGTTTTATTGATGAGAATATATTTCCAACAGTAATGTATATGTTGCTTACTTTTCCTGCCGTGCTCATGTTGTTTCTGTCTTCTCTGCAGACCAGGAGATGGGTGAGTCCTTGCGGATTTCTTCCCTGCTTGAGTGCATAAAGCAGGTATATTGCACAGATATTTATTTTTGCATGAGTAATACCCAACTCCAATTTTACATGTGATCTAGGTCTTTAAGCCACACCCATTAGATTGTTCTCAGACCGTCAAATCGTAAAGAAAGGGCATGGAAACAGTACTCAAAACATTGATCTTTCCATCATCAGGTAAGATTTTATTATCATTAGGTTAAATATTAAGCCAAAGTAATAAATTTTAATCACTTTATCTTTTCTCAACTTTATTCTTCATCTGTCAAATTTCTTGTTTCTCTTCTCTGAGTCCAACAGGGGTCATTCAGGGTTCTGGTTTCCCTTTCTCTGCTGTAAGCTCTAGCTTTGAATGCAAATGGTGCAGTTAGGAAGAAGGAGGAGCAAAAGAGCAGGTTAAATAAAGATGACAGCTAGGAGCCAGAGGAATGTGTTTGATCCAGGACTCCCCTTCTCTTCACAGAGAATCAGAAACTCAGTCACAGCAAAGGTGCTCACCGTGCCAGGAATTTTTACTCCACCTAAAACCAATCATCAATGATTCAGCCCCTCCCTGTGTCAGGCACTAAGCTGGGTCCAGTGGATGGCAGTGATGAATAAGGCATGACCTCCACCCTACCAGGGGCAGTATGGGCAGCAATGATCACATGGCTTTTGGGACATAGCAGACCCTATTCTTTACTAGCTCTGTGTACTGGCACTTATTATTTCACTTTTTTTTTTTTTCGGAGACAAAGTCTTGCACTGTCACCCATGCTCGAGTGCAGTTGTGCAATCTCGGCTCACTGCAACATCCACAACCCAGGGTCAAGCGATCCTCCTGCCTCAGCCTCCTGAGTAGCTGAGATTACAGGTGAGCACCATTATGGCTGGCTAATTCTTTGTATTTTTAGTAGAGACCGGGTTTCACCATTCGGGCCAGGCTGCTCTAAAACTCCTGACCTCAAGTGACTGCCTACCTTGGCCCCCCAAAGTGCTGGGATTACAGGTATGAGCCACTGTGCCCAGCCATTTTTTTTCCCTTTAGTTTCTTTACTGTAAGATGAAAAGCAATAATAGCACCATTTTAAAGTACTGTTTAGTGAATATAGCACAATTTTAAAGGACTGTATAGTGAATATAGTATCATTTTAAGGGACTGTTTGGTGAAAAAATGAAATAATCCATGTAAAGCACTCATCATGGAGTTTAAACAGTAGGAACAGCCTCCTAAATGTTAGCTACAATTATGATTCATAAAAGGAAGCTCAAAGTCTATGGGGAAAAGACACATAGGGAGCCAAGTCTACATGTCAACCTGGCTGGGAAATGCCCTATCACAGGGGTCAGTTAGTGCTTTGGGAGCAGAGACAGAAGTGCTATTTGGAATGAAGGACTTGGGGAGGCATGGTAGAGGAACAGGTATTTGAGGTAGATTTTAAATAATTGTGAGAAAATTAGAAAAATCCTCACTGGATCATTTCTGTTGCCCTTTGATCAATGTAACTAGTATACACATGGCTTTCCAAGAATACGAGTTTGATTTTTCTTTTATCCACACTTGGAGGCATTGTGCAGGCAGCTACTTAATCAGATGTAGTCTTTTGACATGAACAAGTCAACATAAAGGACGTATTTCTCTGGAATTGCTAGGAAACATTTCAGTAAGCTTTAATTGTGTAGGCACTGAGACTCACACCAAGACTGAGAAACATTCACCTAATAGAGAAGAAAGGAATGTCCTATGATTTTAGTTGTGGCTGAAATGTATCAAGGTAAGAATATAGCCTCAGATCTGATGTTCGGCATTCAAGGCTTCATAATCTGGCCTTGACCTTCTAATCCACCTGTTCCTTCCCATTCTCCAATATAGGGCCTATGTGCTTTAGATGCTTGTATCTCTATGGTCCCCCAAAGAAGAATCAATTTCTCACTCAAGCCCTTGCCCATCATGCTCTTTTCTCTTCTTTTCTGTCCCTCTTGCCCATTCAAATCCTACCCAAACTTTGAGAACCAGGACAAGGTCACCCTGGTGGAGGTATATTAACTCCATCTCACTGTTGTTCTTTGTGTCTCTGTGTTCCTCTCAAGCTAGCATCCCTCCTGTGGTTTAGGGTCTGTTCCCTTTTGTTGCCCTTTATATTTAGTGTAGAGATCAGTCTCATAAATTCTACAGGAAATTTCCAGTTAGGAATGTTCTTAAATTTCCTTGATATCATCAACTGTACCTAGCTTCATATATACAGTAGATGTTTAATGAATGATTGTTGAATTCTTGTGCACATTTATGTTAAACAAACACTGTTCTATGAGCAGTCTCATAATAAAGGAGATCTAGTGTCTCCTATTTAGGGGTTTACAGATTAACAGTGGGATTGGCCATGGTCAGGTAGACAAGACAGAGAACCTTCCTGCGAAGCAGGAAGTGGTCAGTGCCAGGGAAGAGTTTGACATGGAATTCAAAAGAGGAAGACCCTACGCTATCTTTTCATTATGGATTCTCTGCTCTTAACTCAATGCCTATCACAGAGTGAGTGCTCAGATACTTGTTGATTAAATTTAAGGAATGATTTCTACTTTGAGAGTGAGGAAGTCTTGAAAGAAAGATATTTTATTAAGATTTATCAAGAAAAATAGGTCATCAGGAGGCAAAATGGAGGAAGAAGCCAGGACTAAATTGCACCTGCCACTTTGCTGAACAGAGCAGCGTGTGGAGACCCACATCATGAACATTTGCTCCAACAACTCCCACATGAGGATACCAGGAAAGCAGAGAGAATCCACAGATACTTTGAAGGAGATGGATTGCAGCTGCAGGCTCTGTGGGACAGCAGAGGAACTGCAAGTCCGCTTGCTTTCTCAGTTGGGAGGCTAGTAGCCTGGGGCAGTCTCTTGGTTCTGCACATTGGTTGCCTGGAAATAAACTCATTGCTGTTGGGGGTTCATGGTGGGAGTCAGACTGGCCCTTCAAACTGTGGGTTGCATGGGAGTTGTGCCTGCCTCCTTCTCCCTACTCCCCTGGTGACCTGTGTGATACAGCAGAGGCAGCCATAATCCCCCTTGGGAACATAACTCCATTGGCCTGGGAACCACACCCATATGGTTCCCAGAAGAATAAGCTGCAGCAAGCCCTGACCAGGGATAGTCCAAGCTCAGACATGCCTAACCCTGCCCCTAGCTTTTTCTACCCACTGTGGTAGCTGAAGCCAAAGGAAATAATCTCTTGGGAGTGCTATGGTCCTGCCCACCACCTGATCCTCCTATACTACCATAGCTGATGCACTTTTGAAAGCTCCAGTTCCTGGCTGGAGGCCAACCAACACAAAACCAGCACACTTAACACAAATGCACCCAAGGACCTTCACAGAATCCACTTCACTCTCTTGTTACTTCCACTGGGGCAGGAGCTGGTATCCATGGCTAAGAGACCTGAAGATGGATCACATCACAGGACTCTTTGAATACACTCCCTAGTACCAGCCCAGAGCCAGGTAGCTTCACTGGATGGCTAGATCCAGAAGAGAAAAAGCAATTACTACAGTTCAGCTCTCAGAAAGCCTTATCCCTTGGGAAAAGGGGAGAGCACCACATCAAGGGAGCCTCCCATGCGACAAAAGACTGAACAGCAGCCCATCAGTCCTAGATCTCCCCTCCAGTGTAATCTACCTAAATGAGAAGAAACCAGAACAATTCTGGTAACATGACAAAACAAAATTCTTCAACACTCCCAAAAGATCCCACTAGATCACCAGCCATGGATCCAAATCAAGATGAAATCTATGGATTGCCATTAAAAGAAATCAGAAGGTTGACTATCAAAGCAATTAAGGAGGCACCAGAGAAGGTGAAGTCCAAGTTATAGTAACAAAATAAAATGCAGGATATGAATGGAAAAATATCTAGTGAAATAGATAGCATAAATGAAAAAGAATCAAAACTTCTGGAAATGAAGGACACACTTAGAGTATTGCAAAATGCACTGGAAAGTCCCAGCAATAGACTCAAAAAAGTAGAAAAAAACCTTCAGAACCAAAACCAAGGCTTTTAAATTAACTCAATTCAACAAGGACAAAGGAAACAGAATTTTTTAAAAAAGGAAAAAGCTTGGAAAAAATTTGTGATTATGTTAAGTGACTAAACCTCAGAATAGTTGAGTTCTTGGGGAAGAAGAGAAATCTAAACGTTACAAAACATATTTGAGGAAATAAGCAAGGAAGACTTCCCTGGCCTTGCTAGAGATCTAGACATCCAAATTTAAGATGATCAAAGCACACCAGAGAAATTCATCACAATAAGATCACTGCCTAGGCATATAGTGATCAGGTTATCTAAAGTCAAGACAAAGGGAAGAATATTAAGAGTTGTGAGGCAAAAGCATCAGGTAACCTATAAAGGAATACCTGTCAGATTCACAGTAGATTTCTCAGCAGAAACCCTGCAAGGTGGAAGGGATTGGGTTCCTCTCTTTAGTCTCCTTAAACATAGCAATTACCAGCCAAGAATTTTGTATCGAGCAAAACCAAGCTTCATAAATGAAGGAGTGATACAGTCTTTTTCAGAAAAATAAATGCTGAGGGAACTCATCATTTCTAAGCCAGCACTATTAAGAACTGCCAAAAGGAACTCTAAATCTTGAAACAAATCCTGGAAACACATCACAACAGAACCTATTTAAAGTAAAAACCTCACAAGATCTATAAAACAACAATACAATGAAAAAAAAAAGCAACAAAGTATACAGGCAACAAATGGCACAATGAATAGAAGAGCACCTCACATCTCAATACTAATGTTGAATGTAAATGACCTAAATGCTCCACTGAAAATACTAGAATGGCAGAATGGATAAAAATTCATCAAACAATTATCTGCTGTCTTTGAGAGACTCACCTGACACAAAAGGATTCACATAAACTTAAGGTAAAGGGATAGAAAAAGATTTTTCTTGCAAATGGAAACCAAAAGCAAACAATAGTAGCTATTCCTATATTAGACAAACAAATTCTAAAGCAACAAAAGTTTAAAAAGACAAAGAGGAATATTATATAATGATAAAAGGACTAGTACAAGAGGAAATTATCAGAATCCTAAGTATATGAGTACCTAACACTCCAGGTCCCAAATTTACAAAGCAATTACCTACTAGTCCTAAGAAATGAGATAGCAACACAATAACAGTTAGAGACTTCAGTACTCCACTGACAGCACTAGATAGGTCATCAAGGCAGAAAGCCAAGAAAGAAACAATGGATGTAAACTATAGCCTATAACAAATTGACTTAACAGATATTTATAGAACATTCTACCCAAGAACTGCATAATATAAATTCTATTCATCAGCACATGGAATCTTCTCCAAGGTAGAAGATTTGATAGATGACAAAACAAGTCTCAATAAGTTTAAGTAAATTGAAATTTCAGCAATTACTCTCTCAGACTACAGTGGAATAAAATTTGAAATAAACTCCAAAAGGAACCCACAAAACCATGCAAATACATGAAAACCAAATTACCTTCTCCTGATTAAGAATTTGGTCAACAGTGAAAACAAGATGGATATCAAAAATTCTTTGACTGAATGATAATCAAAACCTCTGGGACACAGCAAGGTGATACAAGGAGGAAAGTTTATAGCATTCATTAAATGTCCGCATCAAAAAGTTTAAAAGAACACAAATAGACAATCTCAAGTCCAAACCTCAAGGAACTAGAGAAACATGAACAAACCAAACCAAATCCAGCAGAAAAGAAATAACCAAGATCAGAGCAGAACTAAGTAAAATCGAAACAACAATGACAACAAAAACACAAAAGATAATAAAGATTGTTCTTTGAAAAGATCAATAAAATTGATAGACCATTCACAAGATTCACCATGAAAAGAAGAGGAAGGATCCAAATAAGCTCAATTAGAAATGAAACGGGAAAAATTATAACTGATACCATGGAAATACGAAAGATCATTCAAAGCTACTATAAACACCTCTTTGTGCATAAACTAGCAAAACCCTTCTAGACATTGGCTTAGGCAGAGACTTCATGACCAACAACCCAAAAGCAAATGCAACAAAAACAACAGTAAATAGATGAGACTTAATTAAACTAAAAAGCTTCTGCACAGCAAAAGAAATAATTAGCAGATTAAACAGAAAACCCACAGAGTGAGAGAAAAATCTTGGCAATCTATACATCTGAAAAAGGACTAATATCCAAATATACAAAGAACTCAAACAAATTGGCAAGAAAAAAACAAGCAATCCCATTGAAAAGTGAACACATGGCTCCATGAAATACCAAAAGCACTTTGGCATAAACTCCGTAGAATCAGGAGATCTTTCATAATACCATATGGTAACTACTTCGTGCATATGCTTTGCCCCATCTTCTAAAAGTTTAGATGGGCAGGAGGAAAGAGCAGTTGTCACATTACTAAGAGTCAGTGTTCTAGTAGAGGACTATGGTAGGCCTGGAGCAACATCTGCAATGTACAAAGGTAACCCTAACTCTCTAGGGGTCACAGGGCATCACTCTCCTCTGCTTCTTTCTCTCTTGGTGTCTCTGCACACCAGTCCGATTCTATATTACATTTCCAGCAAGTGCCATATTCTAAATTCAGCTTATCCCGAGAGATGATATGCTTGATTCAGTTTGGGTCAGTGATCCTGTGTGGTAGGCAGAATAATGGCCCTCAAAGATGTCCACTCCTAATTCCAGGAATTTAGGAATATGTTGCTTTACATGGCAAAAAACGGATTTTGTAGATGTGATTTAGTTAAAGGTCTTGAGATGGGAAGATCAGCTTTGATTAACGAGGTGGATCTAATCTAATCTTACGGCTTCTTAAAAGTGATGAGTTTTTCCTGGCTGAGATCAAAGAGGGAGACATGTCTACTTGCAGACCTTAGATGGCCATATTTGCAACAGGGGTGTGTTAATCTTTTATTGCCGATGTAACAAACACCACAAGCTCTCTTGGAAGGTTAGTCGAAGGTAAGGATTGGTATCTCTAATATAATTATACAGGTAATGATGAGTAGTGCGGAGATGTGACTCCAAAGCCTCAAGAAGGACAGACCAGCATTCGTGCAAGAGATCCAGCTGTCTTCTTTTCCCCAGAAGCCCATAATTTACCTGAACCTGAGAAAGAATATTGTAACTGGCAGAAATTATCTTCAGTTTAAATCCTTTATTTTGGGTGTTAAATAATTTGGCAAAATAATGAGATTAATATTATTTTAAAGATTGCTAGAAAAAATTGTCACATTTCGTGTAGGTGGGTAAATAACAACCTTAAAGCTTGTTTTGGGATGAGGTGCAAAATGTATAGCAGGAGAAGGAATTTAGTAGCAGTAAAAAGAACTTGAGAATGGAATAGATAAATAAAACTCTGTAGAATATTACAATAAGTAGAATTAATTTTAAGTTAATAGAACAATATTTGAAAATCCCACATTCAAAGCCATCAATTCTTACTCAGTGTTTCATTTTGATTTTGGAACTGAAGCCAAAGTTGTCCAGGGAGCTGAAATGCTTGCTGGTCTTGCTGTGGCCGTGGAGGCTGGACTCCTGCCAAGAAGAGCATCTGTGAGAGAGAAAAATGTCTGTTTACATTCCTCCTGTGAAGGGAGTTGGGAAATAATCTAAGAAGCCTAATCCAAAAGCAAAGATGTTCCATCTAGTCTTCTCTGTGAGAGTCAAATAACAAACCATCTGAATGTTCCAAGTGTTTATCTTGATGTATTTTAAATTATTCTGATAATGTTCTTGGCAGAGGCTTAAAAGTGTAATTACTGAGACGATGTAGAAATATCAAGAGTTTATTAAAACAATACAGAGTAATACAAATGGTGTGGTTGTCACAATATAAAAATATTTATAAACTAAAGAGTTCTTTAATGGTGGAATTTTTCTTTTTTACTTTTTGACGTTAAAATATAAATTATTGTAAAAAATACAAATGATTACTATCTATAACATTTATGGAGGGCTGACTTTACTCACTTTTGTGCATACATTGCCTCATTTAGTGCAATATTTAGCATTAACTTATGAGGTAGGTACCATTGCCATGCACATTTTACAGATGAAGTCATTGAGGTTTAGAGAGATTGCATAAAAATGTCCCAGTGGAACACGGCTTGTGGTGGAACCAGGATTCCAGGAAGCCTAACTCTAGAGCTTGATAACCTAAAGAATAATAATAGCTAATATCCTAGTCACTCTCAGCACGTGCCAGTTGTTGTTCCAAATGCTTAACATTTATCTATTGACATAAACCTCAGAATAACTCTATGAGGTAGGTTCTAATATTATTTTCACTTTATAGACACTTATTTTGTAAGTCTATGTCAGCCTTAAAGCCACTTTTGAGTTTTCTAGCATATTTTCCCAGAGCATGTCAAGTTTATTTTCATTTAAATTGCTTGAGAAACAGCATGATTGTTCATATAGTCACTGGAAATGTTATTCCCAGCTGATATCTCTCTGGAGTGTTTGACTTACTCCCAAGTGTGGAGCAGGTGCTTTGCATGACCACACCTGCCATCCTGGAGCCTCCCCATCCTTGTCCTAGGGAATCCCTTCCCTCTCCTCAGGGAGAGAGCATCAGCTTCTCAGATACCACATCTTTCTTTGAATTAATTATCAGTTTGGGGGAACTTCATTTCTCCAGTTATCTTCTGGAGAAAAAGTACATGAAGGGGTAAATTTATTTAGATATTTTGTTTCTATTGGATTTCTACTCTGTTGTGATGGTTTTCAATTCTCAAGAGATTTTTTTTTATAGCATGATATTCTTCTTTCATGCATATATCTTTTATCTTTGCAAATATTGAAAAGCTTTTAAAAAGATTTTGTGGAGTTGGGGAGGGATAGCATGGGAGAAATGCCAGATGTGGGTGAAGGGGAAGAAAGCAGCAAAGCACACTGCCACGTGTGTACCTATGCAACTATCTTGCATGTTCTGCACATGTACCCCAAAACCTAAAATGCAATAAAAAAAATTTTGTGATTTTTTTCTTCATGGACTATTTCTTCTGGCTTCTTTTTATCTTGTTTTGTTTCTCTCTTTCCCATTACAAAGCTGGAATCACCCCACACATCTGATGATCTTGGTTGTCTTCTGTTGTAGGATGGGGACTAACAAGCTATTGGGAAGCTCTGAATACATGGGTGGCATCTGTGTCATGTGAGATTCGCTATAGAACTATCTGGTGGGCTTAATTGCTGGGGAATATAATGTCAGTAAGGGTAGGTCTTTTCTATTTGACTCGTCAGATTTTTCAAAGGATGATACTGGAAGTTTCCATGTAGAAGACCCATGTCCAGCTGCCAACACTCTGGGGCCCAAGAGGGTAATTGAAAATCTAATTATAAGCCACTTGGGAGAAAAAAGGCAAAATCCGGGACTCCTCAGGTAACTCCAAAAGCTTGTTCACATTAATCTTGCAAGACTACAGCCAAAAATCTATTGGACCTGTAGTAATCTCATTCTTAATAGCTCTGAAAGTTTTCTATTAAGGCCTGTGAGCATTTTCTTATGTCCAGACTTTATGTCTGCCATTTTATGTTCCCGAGTGATCCAGTAAGAAAAACATTTCTGTAACTCCCTGAGTAATATCATTCCAAGGCTCTAGATGTGACCAAGATAGTTCATATTATTTTGACCTATATTTGGTCAGAAGTTTTTTTTTTAAAATAAAATCTCAATTATAGTACCTTTAAATTATTTCACAATTATAGATACATATTAGCAGCTAGAATCTTTCATTATAGCTTCTTTATAAGGGTAATAAAATAATAAATCTTATCATAGCTGACAATCTCTACATCAGGTTTCTACAAATTATTTAAAAATGTGATTGACATTCTTGAAGAAGTTATTAAGGAAATTTGATTGTCCTGCCTCTATTCAAGATTCTCATGAATATTATGTAAAGAAATTACATAATATTAGTTCAAAACAGTTATGGTTCAAAAGTTAATGCTAGCTCTTCAGTTCTTTTCAGATCCAGGTTTCTGAGGGGAACAGCCTGTTTTATACATTTTTATATCTTTCTCCATGCTCATATAAACCTATATACTAATAAATATTAATTTTTGTTTTGTTTTATCTTTCACAAAAATTGGATCATATAATACATATTAATCTGTACCTTGCTTTTTATACTTTCTGATGCATAATATTAATTTCTCCAAATTTTTAGATATAATATTTATTTTGAAATGAGGACTTGCTTTGTTGCCCAAGCTGGAGTGCAGTGGCACTATCATGGCTCACTGCAACCTGTGCCTCCTGGGCTTCAATGATCCTCCCACCTCAGTCTCCCAAGTAGCTGGGACTACAGTCACATGCCACTATGCCTGGCTAATTTTTGTGGTTTTTTTGTAGAGACAAGTTTTTGCCATGCTGCCCAGGCTGGTCTTGAACTCTTGAGCTCAAGGGATCCACCTGTCTCGGCCTCCCATAGTGCTGGGGTTATAGGAATGAGCCACTATGCCCAGCCCTTTATTTTATAAGATCAATTTACCATTCATAATAGGGAGTTACCATTCCTTATTCTGTCAATCAATCAGAGAGTTTGAAAATTTTTGTTTTTTCTACAAGTAAGGCTGCAGCTAATAGCCTTGTTTCTACATCCCTACACACAGATACTCATAATTACAGAGTCAATTCCCAAGGGTGATATTGCTTGGGATATTCATGATTTAAATTTTAATAAATATCAAAAATTGCCTGTCAGAAATGTATGACATGCACATTTCTACCAACAGTGTAAACTAATAAGCAGGAATATCTTATTTTGCTTTTTTAAAAATTTTTTGACAACTACGGTGGCTCAGTGCCATTTATGCTTTTTGGCCATTTTAATTTCCCCTCCTGTGAGTTTCCATCATTGTTCATTTTCCTCTTCAGTTATCTATATTTAAATAAAAAAGAACCAGGATTTTAGAAACATAATTTTTTGTGGTGAATCATATTTGTGAAAATATTTTTTCTTTGTCTATATTTTTAGTTTATTTGTTTATACCAAAATTTGAAAATTTTCTCCATGCTCAGTATTTTATTTTAAATATGTTCATGAAATTATTGAAGCCAATCCCCACTTTATTTGTTTTTAAATATCATGAGAAGTCAGAGTCAAAGCAATATATCCTGAAAACCATGCACATTTTCTCCCTTCCCTCTTCAGCCCTGTGTCTGTCACTCCCGTAATCCTGTTTCAGCACCTATGAAGACACTTCTGTGGAATACTCGATTACAGGCCTAGCCAATAATTTTTCTACACTGGAATACATATTTAGATATAAGCACAATCACTTAACTCTATGAACCACTTGCCCCATAGTAAAAATTTCTTTTTTCATAGTGCATGATACCAAAGACCCACACACGCCACTTGCACCCCATGGAGGACTGTGCTACTCTGTGACAATGCTGGCAGTGCCCACCTAATGGCCCCCACTCTATTTGCTTCCCAAACCTTGGAGGAAGAGGGAGGGAGCTGGATGTCAGCCTCTGTGTCACTGGCAGGATTTGATGAACCTGTTGTGAGGTGGGTATGTAGAACCCCATGTTCTTTTTCTGGATCAGCATCAATGTAAAAGCCACAGAGCACCCATCAACAGGTAGTGTCCCAGGATATTATCTTAGGAACATTCTGAAAACTTTCTTGACCTTGAGTAACTCCTTCAGCATTTTCTTCTTCTTTTTTCTTGAGATGGAGTTTCACTCTTGTAGCCCAGGCTGGAGTGCAGTGACACAATTTCAGCTCACTTCAACCTCTGCCTCCTGCCTCAGCCTCCTGAGTAGCTGGGATTACAGGTGACTGCTACCATACCCAGCTAACGTTCATATTTTTAGTAGAGATGGGGTTTCACCATGTTGACTAGGCTTGTCTGGAACTCCTGACCTGAGGTGATCTGCCCGCCTTGGCCTCCCAAAGTGCTGGGATTACAGGCATAAGCCACTGCACCACGCCTCTCCTTCAGCATTTTTGACAAAGCAATCACGTTTTACCTACATTTACACAGCTTTACTTAGTTGACAAAACTCTTTCATTAACATTGGCCCATTTAATCTTGGTTAAGTTATAATGGGTTGGTTGAGTAACTTTTTCAAAACAAAGAATGAACAAGCTCAGAGAGCCTGAAGGACTTACTGAAGATCATGCAGTAAATGATGAACTATTTTACTTTATGTCTAAGGTCTTTCATAATGTGAAATAGATTGTAGATATTGCAATAAGTAGCATTTTTGGAGACAGGTGTAACTCCTGTACCAGGAATAACCTTTGCATGTCATATCTAGAGATAAAGCTCGAAATGCAAACCTTTCCCCTGAGAGTGGGAAAGCATTAACAAATGGACACCACAGGCCTTTACATATTCAAAATATTAAACTAATTCTAGGATCATAGACTTGATGTAAGGCATAGTAGTTAGTAGAAAAGTTCTGGATTGAAAACAATTTTGCAAAAATATACATTTGTATATGTGTATACGTGTGTGTGTAGATATATATCTATATCTACTAGGAAAATAAATTGCTTAAGGTGTCTGTGCCATTTCTTAGTTACCAATTTTACACTCTGTGTTCACGGCTTTCGCCACCCCATCTCTACACATAAAGCCATCATATTACTTTTAATTACTTTATACCCATTTTTAGTCATCATCTAAATAATCATTTATAGCCATAAACTAATACTGTTTAGCCAATGAAGCACTTTCATGAGCAAAAATTACAGATTTTTTTGAACATGATTCCAGGAATAGTTCAGTTTTTGCAATTGGTAATTAAACTTTTGTCATATGAAGCAAGAACTCTTCTATTATTAAAAAAGCCAATTGTACATTGACCATAGCAATGTAAAATAGTAAAAATCATAAAAACA